CAATATTACGAACTAGGGATTGCACCACATAGTGAATGTGAACGGCAGTATTTTTATGTCAGGATCCTTATGCTTCGAACTTATCTTCAAAGTGGGTAGTTTATAGCTTTCCAATGTTCGCGCGGCTGCACTTCTAAAACCCCAATTGTGGAAATTTTGAGGTTTCGCAAGCTACATTTCCTAAGCTCAGATAGATGGTAGTAATGACTTTAAAATTCCGCTTGTCTGTATCAGATTTTCTGTCAGTACTACGTTTAACAAAGTGGAATCATTTCGACAATCGCTATAAAGTTGAACTAACGGATTTTTGCCAACCCAAGTCATGTTGAGAGATATATGAGCCGCACATAACCCGGCTGCTTGGCAGTATTTCGCATTTGCACAACAGATAAGGACATTGGTCACAAATGGCATCAGGATTCAAGCGATGGTCGGTTATCGTGAAACTTGATCATCCAGTCCACGGTATTGGCGCAGTGTAAAATATACTCAACAGGATAGTCAATATTTTCGACGGACGGGGTTTCAGACACTGGGTGAGCACCCAGAAGGGATCCAGGATGACAAAGCAGGCCAGGAATATAGATTCAAACCGGTGACCTTATGGTTGCAAGCCAGGCGTGCAGACCACTCGGCCACCAGGCTTCCCGGTCTCTTTTCAGGTTAGCAGGCAGTTTCGCCTTGAAATCTTTGCGAGTCTCCTTGTGTTCGCTATCAGTCGGAAGAAGTTGGCAAGCATCTATTAGTTCCTGAGACTGCGTAGTGACCCAATGTTCACATTAAGACATACCGCTGCTAACAAAGTCTGTCGGATTTTCGACCAGTGATATTCAATTGCGTTCCACGAGCGTTTATTCAGCTGGGATGTCAGCGTCTTTAAGTAGTACATGAAACGTGTGCCTGGAAACTGTTGAACACGAGTATTTTAACAATTTGAATAGCTGCATTCAAGACAGCACTCTAAAAGTAAATCTGTGATTGTTGTTATATGAAACGAAATATTGAATGGCAATTTGAATTGTGGGCTTTACAACTGCGAGAGCGGCAGCAATTGTACGTCCGCCACCGACAGAAAAATTAGTTGCTGCGTCAGTGTATCCACGCCAACTACTCCCTCATTTGTTTACGCACGCCATTGGGTCAAATGAGAGACCTTCCGAACGATCAAGACAGTATCCACTTCGTAATGGACAGCTATTCTGGCCTTTCTGGCACGCAAATTAAATTGGGCTTGCTGTAGGAATGGTTGCGTTTAAATCTAAAGTACAGCTTCCGAACCGGCTGATGTGGCTTCCGAACTTGACAGATCAACTTCCAATCGGGTAGCGAATTAACGCGCCAGTGCACTCAAATACCGCGGACAAACATCGCACAGAGACGCTTTTCATTAGAGGCGATTCATTAGTTCAGCTTCAATGACGACATCTTGTCTGGCAATGGACGCGTTTGCGAACTCACATCTATCAGTTCCTCTTAATCTTGAAAAAGGCAGACATGACGTGCGCAGTAATTTCCTAGTTACTACTATTCAAATATCCACGCTGACATCCCATAGTGTAATATATCTGACGGTTGCTTCACCCAGCAAGCTCACTTGGTCCTACAATGCGCTCACCAAACATCCTAGTTTTCCGAACAAAAAAGCTTTAGCTACATTATCTCAGGCTGATCAAGAAAGAGTACGACGCAGCGAATATCAACACAAAAAGGACCATAATTCGAACATATCACTCGGGCTTGGCTCACTGGAAGCCGGTCCCGGTTCACTCCCTTGCGGTACACATTAGCTATCGCTTCAACCGCCGTACGAACACACAAACTTACGTATGTACACACATATTTTGAAAACACTGTGAATACTCACACGTCCCTACGCGCTGCCAGTGACATGCTACACAACCATATACTTAAAACATAGGCCAACAATGGAATTAAAACATATCAAATTTTTCTAGACAATTGGGAAAGTGCACACGCATATGTGGAATAGCAGTACGACATCCCACAACGCTGGCATCCTTGTTGGCTGCTCCGGCAATGCATTCAAGGAACTGCAATCGTCATTCCATTTGCGTCATGCGTTTCTGGGGATCCCTGGCCAGAAGTTCCTCGTAGTGCACTCTCATCTCATTCTTCAGTCTGGCCTTCACCACCTGCCAAACATTCTCGATCGGACTGAAGAACGGGGAGTATGGGCTCAATCTCAGTATGGTTACTCCCTCGTATCCATCTACTTACTGACGACAGTTCTTTCATTCGGGTGTGACATGGTGCATTATCAGATACCACAACAATCTGCCGGAGCTCCATCTCCCGTTAGGGTTTGTCTAAATAGCTTCGCAGCCATTCGAGAGATAGGGGATTTCTGAATGAGCATTGCCGGGTGGTCCTCAACCCTTTCCCTTCCATTGTGAGTTCACCGATCAAATGCACATTGAGGCCTCTACTGTTGGCAACTTTGCAACAGTCCCGCACTCCTCTGGACGTCCGACCACAAGTACGTGTGCAATTAAGTTTGAGGTTGGCTTCGTCAATCCAAATGAAGAATTTGCCATCGCTCTCAAGTTGAAAAACTGTTGAACGAATTCTCTGCGTATCCCTTTGGTTCGCTCATTGTTCATTCCCTCTGGAATCTGACAGATGTTCTTCGTAGTTATCAATCGACCGTCCAGGTGCCGAGCGATTGTTGACTTCGAAACGTCTTTGTCCATTTCTGCTCGTACTCGCATTTCCCGTGGCGTAAGAGTTGGGTCCCTTATGATCCAATCCGGGATGTCATCTACGTCTTCCTCCGACAGAATCCGCTTGCGGCCGCGCGCCTGCGTAGTACTCGGCTCTTGGTCAAGAGAACGACGAATTCAGGAGTAGGCTGTCTGATATTTGACCTCGTTCACAGTTGCCACCAGCTGCCAGTCATCACCGTTGACGAAGGCGCCCAAAACACGCTCACGAATGTCTGATGAGATACTCTGTCGAACGTGAGAAGTCATGCCGACGACGTTAGTATCATAGACATGGTTTCGATCGTGCGCTGATGTTCCAGCTGTTCATTGCTCTCAAACCAATTGTGATCCACCGTTTCGGACGTGAAGGGGGTCCATACAAGCCCGTAGCACCGCCGAAGTGTGTACCTCTAAGGTTCATTCACAAGTCTTACTCAGTCAACAGGCAGCGCGCTCACCTCTCCAGAGTAAGGCACGGAGCCTTGGCATCCGGCCAATAAGAACACACTTACGGTCAGAGGATTGGCTCTGAGCGGTTGACAAATCGCACAGGGTGTTGTAATATTTTGGACTTTCTTTGCAATATTTGGCGCATGCTTTGCAGGATTTTGGACCTTTTATTCGATTTTACCGGAAATGCTATGGACTTCTTACCGACCTTGCTAAATGTGTGGTAGACTTTGAACCAACTTGCAGCTGGTAATTTAACTGCGGGCCCGCGTGTCGCAAACGGCTGCTGTATTAGGAATGCTTGACTATCATGTGTAGAGGCATCACCAGCTTACAGTCCATAAGCTACTCAATTTATCTTGTATGGTGCGCTATCTGTTCGCCTATACGGTGGTGAAACCTGGACGTTTGATCGCAAGGGCGTCCAATATTAGGAGCGATTTCAACAACAGTGGCTGCGTCGTGTTCTGCGCATCGTCTAGGGTGCCCGAGTTGCTGACGCCGAGGTGCTCCGCCGCGGTGGCATGTATGCAATGGACTGTACACTATTGCAGAGGTAACTGGGGTAGCTTAGGCATATAAGCCATGTGGATTCGATGCGGATACCTTAGAAACCGTTATATGGATAATTTAGTGCGGAGAAACGTACGTAGGAAAACCGAAGCTACGTTACCAGCACATGATAAAGGTGAGTTACTCATGAAATGATATTCATTTAAGGCGTTGAAAAACACTGGCAGTGGATGGATCCCAAAGGTGGGAGCGAATTAAGTGGGCGGTTGCCCAAGTCTTTAAGAAATCACTTCTGTGCGCGGAAAAGAAACGCCGCCTACGGAAGCAACATTTACTGGTGGAGGATAGCCCATCGAGGTCCGGCTCATGCTGCTGTAGCACATGCGGCCACGAGTGCCTGAGGCAACTCGGCCTCGGAAGTTACCAGCGTGGCCACGAGGGTCCAACGGCGAAGAGTCGACGCGCCATTTGAAGAGGTAATCATCATTGGCGCAGCGCTTGGTTAGTACGCTATTTCCAATTCCATTTACTAACACATGTGAATAAAGCTGTTGATGTGGTACGTATGCAACCTCAACGTTGCTTTTGGTCTGTACGTGTGTCTGCATGTTGAGTTTCTTGCACTTCAGGTGTTGGCTATTGATTGATATCCCCGGTGTGGCTGCGCTTGATGTGAATAACGACAAAGTGCCTATCTGTATAACACCTCTCATCAGGATTACTAGCTCCTAGAGATTGTTACTCTTTACTGGGGTTGCGTACACGGTCCTCGTGACCGTGCTCGGCTCAAAGAGTTGTTCCGTCCAGTGTGGAGCGGGCTACGGTCCAGCCACCGCTCTGTGTACGCGTGGCAAGCATGCTTCCCCACAGCGAGAGGCAGGAATGCTGCTGTGTATGTTGCAGGAATGTGGACCGGATCTGTTGATGAAACGTGGCTCCCATGCGCAAGCCTCTTGGCCTTATTATTTGGGATTTACGTTAGATATGGGAAGTGCGGATGGAGTTGTAGGTAGTGCGGCGCACGCCACTCACAGTCCCTTATTTGGCGCAGTCATCCTGTGGCTGTCCTGTGGAAGCTGCAATGACAGGCGCATCCGGAATCAGGTGCTGCCAACTGTGGAGTTCACAGGCTGTCTGGATAACTGCTATAGGATATGCGTCGAATCTCCTTAACCGGAGCGGTTCCTCCTCGCAGCACATTGTGGCTATTATTTGAACACTAATCGAAGTTTTGTTGGAATTTACTGTAACTGTGAAAAAGACGATATTTGACCCAACTTTGTCCAACCGTCTGATAAACTTTGAATAACTTACCGTTAAATCCTTAGATAGAAATGCTTCTTCACGGCTAATTGATTTCACTTTCCCTGTCGTCAATGCCTTGGAGATGGCCTGCGGGAAATTAGGATACGGGAAAAGAAGTGGGTAAGCAACAGCGGGGATGCATTGGCTAACCTTGTAACCTTTTAGGCAACATTGACCCACTGTTCTTCGATAACACGGTTTATCTCTCAAACTTCTCAACTGGACTGGCCTTCACTATTTAATAAGTTTACTATACTCTTTGGTACATACCTGGATTTTTGGATCACGCATTGTAGACAAAGTGGAATAAACAAAATTGGTGTTGTAGCAGCATTTTGAAGACGGCAGCGTTCGCCGGGAGACCCGTCAGATTAAGAGCTTCATGATTTTATTTGCAAGCAATCATCAACCAAGTGCCGTGTAGGTCTGTTGTATCATACCCGACCGTTGGAACACTACGACCGCAAAGAGAACACGAAGAAGAATCATGTCCGACTTGTTTACACGATAAATCTGTTTTATTCAAATAGCGTGCAACAGTAGTTGAAGTAAGGCTACTATAACACGTTGGAGCCAGCCAACGTCATAGGAAACACTGAATAATAGGACTAAATGAGAAGTGGCAAAATAAAAAACCAATCAAGCGAGTTCAAGGAAACGGGAATAGCGACAATGTATCCATGAAACGACATCCATTATGAACGACGTAGGCCGGCCAATAGAAGCAACGAAATGATGAGTTTAAACAAATGTCAAGGAACAACGGTAGCGAAACGAAGGCCGGCAATCAAAAATTGTCAAAAGATGTATATCTAATGCGCATCCTCCTAACAAGGCCTAAAAGAGAAAAGTTGGACGGTGATCAGCGATAACTTTTTCAACTGATGTGTTACACTCTATAAAATTCACACAGATACTTGACTATCGCTCGTTTTCATCAGAGCAGTCTGGCTGACGTCTTTGGCCCTCACTTCGCTTGCATTCACCAGAGCCTGAGTTTCATCTGTTGCTATACTGTTCAACAAATACCTTGCTTACTCGTGACAGCATAACTTCTAGTTCACTTATGACAACTGAAGCTGGCATTTCCACTTAACCCAGACGTTTCTGTATCCAGCTGAAAACACATTTTTGTGTTTAAGTGCAATGTGCTGCAGATGCTTTTGTTGTCCCATAGGACTCTCCATGGTATTTATGCAATGTCCTGACAGCGGCACACTATCGCCAAACACGATCTGATTGGTAAAATCCTTGAACATATCCGACTCCAAACTGGACCCCATAATTTCTGCGGCAAAAGACCCAAGCATTTGAAACCCCGATTAATGCGATCTCCGGCTTGAGTAACCAATCTCATTTTATGGAAGTAGCAACTCACCTTTCTTACCCTAATGCAGATTTGTATACATTAGTCTGAAAACTGGCTGATTTGTCACGGCACTCGTCGAGCAAGTATTTCGTTACCAACTCTAGCCTCGATGTCATACCGTATTGGGTAGCCAATCGTATAAGTCGTATGTTCTGGCCAGGAACAATGATCTTATGACGCATAGGTCAATAGCCTCATCTGGTAATCAGTTCAGACCCAAAAATAAAAGGCTGCGACCTTCTCCTACCCCCGTCGAGGCTGAATGCTTCCACATCTCGCACTATGGCTGTGTCTATCCTTGATACTCATAGGCCAATTAGCAATATTGGCGATCAAAGATCTTCTACTCTTCGATGTATTATGAAAATACAGAGTTCTGAAGCAATCCAAAATCTACGAGTTGTCCTAACATGACTTTAATGGGGATTCTAACCGTCAAACGTGGGTAAGCGCAATGTAATTAGGATTGATCACCGACGGGCCTAGATTTATGGAATTGGAGAACCAATTTACGAACCGCTGTCTTTATCTTTACTACCTCAGTGCTGAATCTTCGGATTATTTTATTCAGATTTATTGCTCTTTCACCATCGTCAAGGTGCATTGTTTCCGACGTTTGCGTCGCTGCGCCATCAATGGTGCATCCGAATGTCGCTAACCTGTACACCGTCCGGTAACGGGCAAGCATGACGTTCACCCACCTTATTGTCCGCAACCCTTATTTGTCCAACCTAAGACTGTCCGTCATCTGGAAGGACATGGGTGTCAAGAGATAATTCTTTTATGCTCTTAAAGATTGCATGCATCTAGTGGTAACGCTTTTCGCGGTAATTACTAAGGTCGAGGTATTTGAAAAGTGCGTTACCGATGTTTTGAGGTGCATTAAAAAAGTAACCTCGTTCGTGTTGTGAATTTAGCATCCTATCCATGCAAAGCTTAATGAGGTGTGTGAACAGTTGCGCTTCGTGACCCTGTGTCCCATGCACATGCATCAACTCGTCAAATTTATATATGACTGTCTTAGAATTCGGTCTTTCACAGACAAACCTTTATTGAGGAAAACCAAACAGTGTTGGGAGAATACAAGTTGCAAAGATGTAATTCCACAACAGTGTTCCCTCTTGACTACAGGTAAACGTCATCTAATCAGCGGAGCTTCGTGCGGCCAGTAGACGAGGCCATTTGGTTCGCATCTGATTGGTCGCCGCAGAGGTTTCGCTGGTCCGACTGCTGCATCGTGTGCACCGGTCCCATCACAATGGCTCCCTCGTGCAATCAGGCGTACTTGACTCTACACTAACACACCCAAGGCAAGTGACGAGACAATGGGTCGGACGTCCACAACTTGAAATATGAGACTTAAACAAATTTGCATGTGTAGAGGAAAGAGGGGAGATGGCACTGTTGATCCTGCGATGCAAGAGTCTTTTCGGGCTTATTTTGGACATTGTAAGAAAGAGTGGATGAGTTTGGCTAAAACCGTAACCATTGCCACTATTGTTAGACCCGAATGGCGATGATTTAGTTGCAAATCCTTAAGCCATCATTTACAAAGATCGAATGATAGCCCTGAGTGTCTTTAACATACTAGTCCGTAGAAGGACGAAACGGGTCGCTGAGGGCAGCGTTAGGAGCAGGTAGCGTTGTAACTGTCTCAACTTTTAATATGATTCCTGTGAAGGAAGTGTACAGTCGGAGTAGGCATATGGACAAAGAAACAGACAACCAATGAAAGGAGCACGTAAGCAAATTCGTTCATTCGATACGGTGGAGTTCGAAGTCCGCATACACCATTCCGATTGATTGACATTTCTGTCATTTTGGGTAGCCGAGTCAGAAAATGAACCTAATCGGACCAAGAATATCGTTATTTATGGAAGTGAGCTAACGGTAGATCTCGAAGAATTTTGTGAGTCCTAAGTGCTGCCATTTTCCCCTGTTTGGATTTGCTAGACAGACAGCTTGTCCCTAACGAACTGACATTTGCGATGATACCAGCGATGGAAATAGTTTTATTACCTCAGTGAAGAAGGCAGTCCAAATAGAAGGCGCATGCACTAACTTAGAAGTACAGTGGGCATTCCAAATATAAACCAAATGTATGAAGACCCGATTTGGCCGAATCTGAAGGTGACTTACGACAGGCGAAAAGAGTCGAGATACATGATGAGAGTAACCAGTGCGAATGGAGAGGAAATTAGAAGCAAATATAGTATACTTCTAACTAACGACTTTTCCAAAACGCGTAAGTTATAACCGTTCACAATTGTGTAAAACTCAGCTTGCGCACTGACAGGTCAGTGTATTGAATTTAATGAATGCACTTGTTAGTATTGAACAAGCTACTTAGATGTGTGCATTTGTTTACTGGTGATGACGATTTATAGATAAACCTAAGCTACCATAACTATTCCGGATAACCGTAGTGCTTTTCGGAAGCAATCCCGAGAAAATTACGCCACATTTACCTCAGTTGTAGGCAGTGGCTACGCCCATGTTCCTTTCTACACTCTAGCGTAGTAACAGTTTGCTAAATTAGTGAAACTTAAAACTTACGGCGTAGCAGTGGCTGCCATAGCAAATCCTGGGGTCAAACAAGTACTAATCGGAAAAGTTCACTATTTTGCTACTTTGTCACCTCGGAGTAATGCTATGCGCAGAAGTCAATCATTATTTCCACAGGGTGACTTAATAGGTATGTCGCAAGTGATTTGATTCACCAGAGTAGCCCGCAGGAGGCGTGTAGCCGCCCTAATTTGAAGATGTGAAGCGGTGCGTTAGGCACCGCTGGTAGACATATAAACTTGTTCAGCGGAAGCATTTACAAGGATACACCTCATTTTCCTTGATGGAGTTGGGTGATTGGCCACATCATTGGTTAGAGACCTTATTCGATGCGATGTTGTCGCCATATCAGTGTCTCACTAGGTCCCTTGTCCATTGTCGTTGACAGTTTCATCTGGCAGTCAAGTACGTTCTCTTTTCTTACGGCGATTCCCCTGTCAGTTTACATGTTTTTTTTATGAAATTGCCATTCTCTCTACGGTTAGATTGGCCTTACAAGTCAAAGCAGATGAACCGATTGATGTTCAGCATTGGTATCATAGATGAACAATTACAATGCATCATCATAGCTCACAAAACTCCTCCAGGATGGAAAGAAAAGTTAACCACTGACATATTCCCTGGTTTGGACTAACGAGGGATAGGCGTCCAAAGGTTGTTACACCTATACAGAACAATGAAAACTAGTTGGCTGTGGCGTTTGACTAACAGTAACTAACTGTGTTCAGTCGACTGATTCATTTCAGTGGGTGATGTATTTGTGTTTAACCTCTTCTCAGGTCGCTGTTGAGTGAAGTCTACATGCGAATGTAAATGTGCAATCAGTCATCTCTAGCTTTACATTCTACCGACATAGGATGGACACTATGCTCTGCATACGTGATTAAATGAACAACTTGCAGAATAGTCAGGTGTTCCTGTGCTCACCGAGCTTGGTAGTCGGGTAGCTGACGTTTCATCACCAGATGAGGTGATAACATAAGTGTGTAGGGCTGCGCACCAATGGTGTCATCGCGTCTGGTGATGAAAGTTTTGCAACGTGACTACCAATCTCGGTGAGCACATGAGCATCTAAGCACTGAGCCTGAGTTATCAAAGTTTTGCGAATATCTTTGATGTTTCAACAGGGTATATCCCAATGCTGCATTCACAACTAAAGAAAAAACAACAAATCGAAAATAATCTAATGGATCCCTCGCTTTCTGCAACTGCCTCACTTACTTTTACGATTTCGTACAGCGTATTTTGCGAATCATCCTTTGCAATGATGTAATGTTTAGTCGGCCGCAGTTCAATCACCGTTTGAATGATTCTAAAAAAATATCAATCACATGAGTAGTATGAGGCGGTATGGAACGTAAAAACCTAAAAATGACAGCGTCAACCACGGAGTAGCAACGGACATATTCGCTTGCTCAGGTCTCCTGGCACATCATGTCATCTACAATGCCATTTGATATGGATGCACAAGAGTTTGATTGGTACGACGACACCACCTGAGCTTCTACCGACTAAGAATTTTGACTGATGTGGGGTTGACCGATTACCTAGAAATAGAATGGCTGAGTTTCTAAAGTCTTTACATTTATATGAACCGTATTGGAGATGCTACTCATGGACGCCTTTCTAGCTGTGCGGCCCAGCCACTCTCGGTAAAAGCGGGTCACACCCTGTGGTTTCCACGGGAACTGAGTTCGTTTCTCTCGACTAGTGTTTCTGTGCACCTTGGATTCTTGAGGTTAAATGCAGTTTGAGCACAACTCGGATAACTATTAGTACATGCGATAGATGAGATGCTACTGAGACGTTGTGGTTTCAACTCAACGTCTATGCAGAAGATTGCTCAGTGAGGCCGAGCACTGCGTTCAGCTGAACCAGGAACACCTCATTGCAGGCAGAGGAAATACATTAGAAACAGCGGCGCAATGGAGTAACTTACTTAGCGAGGTCGTTGACGTGGATTGTTGGCAGAATGTTTTGGCCATCCTCAAGTACATGGAGGAACTGGTCGTTATTCCACGCGTTCTGGTAATTGAATTGAAGTACAAATACAGATGTGTGCTATCACGTCAGTCACTGTGGTAGCGTGCGAAATACGAGGGTGCTCAAAAAACCGAACTATTGCTACAACATTTCTGTTGCTCATTGCACAACATTTAAGCCCTTTTCCCTCAAACTAATCCCTCATACTGGAAATACACCGTTCCCAACGGGGAACCCATTTCCGGTATATCAACTGGAATCCATTTTCTATGATGGCACGCAGGTCTCTTGTCGCATTGTCCTGAATCTCTTCTAAGCTTTGGAATCTACGTCTTCAACGTGGTATTAAGTTTAGGAAACAAGCAAAAGTCTGCAGAGGTTAGGTCCCGGAATACCGCGGACGGGGCACAACGGAAGTGTGTTGTTTTGGGAGATAGCTGCGGACAAGAGCGATGCGTGAACCGGCGCACTGTTATAATACAACATCGAAGTCTGATTTTCCCACAGTTCATGCCTCTTCCCGCGCACAGCATTCCACAAGCAGGCTAGTATTTAATGGAAAAATCTTACGCTGATGCCTCTTCGTTAGGCAACTTCTCAAACAATTAGACGACGATTTCCACGGATCACAGCACGAACTCCCTCGACATGGTCATCGTCTGTTGATGTGGAAGATTGTCCACGCTTGGGACCGGCAACGACGAACATCCTGCGGTGTCAAAACATTCAAACCATTCATAGCGTTATGTGCAACTCATACAGTCCTCTTCGTATGCTTGGCTAAACAACTGTAATGTCTGTAAAAGTGTTGTCAAGTACGTAGCAAAATTTCACAGACACACACACGTTATTCTTTAATCTCTTTCATTATCTCTTGGTACTAGTCTAACGAAGAGCTGATGCACGTGCTCACTTCAGTGGCTTTAGCTCCCCAACTAATAGTTAGAGCGAAATGCGGCAAATGACAGTTCGTTGTCTAAGCAAGCCTCCACATGCACATAGTAGCCGCAGCGCGCTCACACTGCCGGTTGACTCGCTAGTTCAAAAATTCGGCTTCTTTTTAAACACCCCTCGTACTAAGAGCAAATGTCTAAATGTGTAGCTATCTTTTCCATTCGTACCAAATGGTCGCGGCAGTTAATGCGCTCACTTTGAACAGTCCAGTTGGAGGGGATTGAATCATGGTCTTGCCTCCTCGTTATTTTTGTGGATGAAATCAGTAGTAATAAAGAGAGGAAACTTGAAAAAAGGGAAGCAAATGGCCTAAACGTTTACAGAGAATGTTTTTTGTGGACAGAGGACACTATGTCGTCGCTCATTCCGTCAGAGGGGTTCTGTTCGAGGGCAACCAACGCTGACCCTTGAGATATCAGACTGACTCGTAAGGCAATGAGGATAAGGTCCACTTGACGAGTCTGGCAGCAAAGTCCCATGGGAACTGCTTATGTCTGGTCGCACACAGTTATTAGAGATTCGTAGGCAGTTGTGGATTTATTTCGATCATCGTAAATCCTATATCTCTGTCTGCGGTGAACCACCAATCGGTTGGGCGAGTTTATGCATTTTGACTAGGGACTGCTTTGCTTAAGCCAGGATATGTCACCAGTGAGCAAAAGTGATTTTCCCTCATCGTCAGTGGTCACTGGCATCTTAGAAAAAAAACTAGGTCTGGCGCATCCAGCCATATGATTGCATTAGGGTTTTGCACAAATGAACTCACTGATAAAAGACATTGTCAGGAGGACTCGCTCGTTGAACGTCCGATGTAATCAGTAAAGCACTTACACGTATTCGCGTTTTGGCAAGAAAAGGGAGATAAACAGGCTCCGTGCGTTCAGGATTTACGCACGAAATATCCAAAATCAGGAAAGCTGGCCTAGCGGAACAGTCATCCGTAAAACGGGTAAAGTCATCTGTGAGATAATGCCCGACAGTAAAAGGTGAGTCAGGCACCTCAACAATTTGCGAACACACCGCGGAAACGTTCAGAGACCACGGAAACCGATAGCACTGCAGTGGGACCTACTAGTAGATACACGTTGTTTGGCAAATGAGAACGATCGTCCAAGTGGAACGCACCCTGTTAAGTATGGAACTCAGAAGATAAAGGGAACAGAATGCGTACGCGTAGTATCGAACCGAATTACTAAAAGCTTCCTGCCTTACAGCGGCTAGAGAAGCCGTGAAGAAAAACCAATGAACTAAAGTAGGTAAGGTAAGGTCATTGTTAACCAATCATGTGAGGGCCAGTGTTTACGAATCGGTACTCAAGTACTTACTTGACACACCCTCTCCTCCCTGGTCAAGAATGCAGACATCGGCTTGATGTAGAGCAATTGGCTTAGGTAAGCGTCTTGAGCGCCTTAATTGGGTTTGTACCGCATCCGTATGTCGTTCCAGCTTTTGTGGATCAGATTCTCTGTCCGCTTTTGGGTCAGTATCAGCTGCCTTTTGATCCAGCTCATGTGGTTCATTTGAGCTTAGCCGGATATGTCCAGATTGGCGGCGCATCACACTGCCGTACTACAGCTGTAGCTGCGTTTGGTTACTCGTTGAGGATATGTTTCTTGAGGAAGTCTTGTGTATACCGGGTCGAAATCATTGAGACACATTTCCTCTGGCATCCTCTTATCCCCACACATTTTGTCCTGCTTTTCCTCCATTCTCCTTCAAGGGTACGGAAAACGTAGGTGCAATCTCGTTCTTAGTGGCCGACCAAATATTAATTCCACGTCTGACTTCCCTGTCGACTCAGTCGTTATCGTCTGGTAAGAGAACAGGATACCATGCAACTTAGTTTGTAGAGTTCTATGAGTCTGTTTGAGGAAACCTTGCATAACAGTCTGGACTGCACGTTCTGTCATCCCTTTCGATGCGGTATCGTTCGGTGCAGACTTAATGTGCTGTATTCCGTTGTTAAGCAGGAAGTGCTAAAACTTCCCTGGTAAATGAGGTTCCGTCGGCAATGCATACCGCCACTGGGATACCGAAAATGGCGAAGATGGAGCGAATTTTTGCAACTGTTGCTGCGGAAGTCGCAAGTAGAACTGGGTGTACTTCTATCCATTTCTAATGGGCAGTAGTCAAAAGTAGGCACATCATCCCATTGATTGGGCCAATGTAGTTCGCGTGTACCTGATACCAGAGACTTTCTGGCCAACACCATGGACGTATCTGGACGGGAGATTTTTGCCTTTGGTATTTCTGATATGGGTCACATTCTTTTCGCAGATGCTCTATATCCTAGTGAATGTTTGGACACCAACAGTAACCACGTACCAACGTCTTTATTCTGTTCGCATTGGGGTGTGTGTCTTCTAGCTCTTTCAGCAACTAGGGGCCGTAGTTCCTCTGGTGAAGCTATGCGCGGGCCTCGAACTATACAGACGTTGTAGAGGCACAACACATTACTCTGATAGACAAATGATTTCAGTCCGTCTGACGTCCTTGTAGCCCAACCGGTCATCAAGAAGCGTTTCATCATCGACAACACAGAATTCCAAACCATCAAGCGCCGCATCACGTCACTCCGATTGGTGCCTTAAAGTGTGCATCTAATTTATGAAGTCCATGTGTTCACTATTTGTTTTCGGACCATGATGCTATGGGAGGCGACTAAGTGCATCGGCAATGGTAGTACTTGGTCTTTTACATACTCAGCTTTTTAGTTATAGGCGCTCAAAAGTAGTACCTACCTTTGCATGCGAAGCGAACACTCCGGTTGGATTCCTTCCTCATCACCCAAAAGCGTAAGAAGTGGTTTATGGTTTGTGTAGATATCAAGCTGTTTTCCAAAGTCGTATTGCTGCAAATGCTTGACTCCGTACATAATCGCTACGGTCTCTCTGTTCAGTTGGGAGTAATTCCTTTCAGCGGATTGCGTTGTACGATAAGCAAAAGCTATTGGACGAAGATAATCTTCATCCTTCCGGTAGAAAAGGACTGCGCCTACCGCTCGTGGGGAAGCATCACACTGCAGCACTATAAGGTGGCTCGGATTGAAATGCATGAGCTACGAGGGGCGCTGAGCACTCTTATTGCATCTGTGAAGGCCTTTCTTTGATCCGGACCACATATCCAGGACTCACACTTGTGCAACTGTTCGTACAATAGTGTAAAAACTGTTGAGGTGTTAGGTAAGAAGTGGCGAGATTGAGAAAACTTCCCTAAAACGATCTGAGTTCTGCTTCATTCTTGGGTTCAGATGGAACAATGATTGGTCTTGCTTTGTCTTCGAACCCGTGTAATCCGTTTATCGAAGCGCTAACCAAGGTAATGAAAGGAACATGAGGTAAACTTACTCTTGGACTTAGTCACTTTGAGTCCACTCTGTTGTAGAGGTTAGAGCACAGTGAAGAGTGTTTGCACATGTTTAACATCTGTTCCTCCTGTAATTAGGATGTCGTTAAGATAGGCGCAAGTGAAAGCAATATCTTAGATTAGGTTGTCAACAATCCTTTGGAATATCGCTGGGAAAGAACGGATTCCGAAGAGCAGACGTTTGTACTGGAATAGACCTCTGTGTTTACTTATTGTGGTGCATGAGCTAGGGGTCGATTAGAAACGATTGATCTCGGCTGCTTATCGGAGACTCGCCTACAGTACTTGAGCTCTGTGCTCACTTTGCGATCCCCTTCAGGCTACACTGGAAGTACTTTCTCATTGCGCCTAGTCGGTGACGATGCAGCTTCAAATACCGGCTAAGCCAATGTTGGTATTGCCCTGAGTCCCCGGGCTGAAGGTACTTTGGTTGATTAGATTCCAACTAGTAGCCGGTTGCGTGCGGTCCAATTCGCTGGCTCCTCCAAAGCTTCGAAGCCGCACGGGACTAACAGGTGTCTATTCGTCATCGCTGTCCATGCACTCACAAATACTAGCGATGATCCGGTGAAAGACGACTACTATCGATAACTGACCCAGCTCCTTCGCCACAGAGGAAGCTCGGAGACTGTTGTGTTGGTTAGGGATCTGAATGCTCAAGTTGGAAAATTATCCACTGATGATCTGTATCCGGGTGTTTAACACAGTGTAGGCTCCCATAA